GGAAGTGTCACCTCCTTGGACCTATTCGTCATGCATCTGCTGATGTACGATAAAGTGCCATTGGCTTTTTTGATGGCTTCGTCACACTGCCGACTCATGTTCATCTTGGAGTCCACTAGGACTCCAAGATCCCTTTCCACTTCCGTGCCACCCAGCAGGTCATTCCCTAGGCTGTAGGTGTGCTGGACATTTTTCCTCCCTAGGTGCAGCACTTTGCATTTCTCCTTGTTGAACTGCATTCTGTTGTTTTCTGCCCACTTGTCCAACCTGTCCAGGTCTGCTTGCAGCTGTTCCCTGCCCTCCGGTGTGTCCACTTCTCCCCATAGCTTTGTGTCATCTGCAGACTTGGACAGAGTACATTTCACTCCCTCGTCCAAGTCGCTGATGAAGACGTTGAAGAGTATCGGTCCAAGGACCGAGCCCTGTGGGACCCCACTGCCCACACCCTTCCAGGTCGATACCGACCCATCCACCACAACTCTCTAGGTGCGACCCTCTAGCCAATTCGCCACCCACCGGACTGTGTAGTCATCCAAGTCACAGCCTCTTAACTTGTTCACCAGTATGGGGTGGGATACCGTATCGAAGGCCTTCCTGAAGTCTAAGTATACGACATCCACCCCTACACCTGTGTCCAGGCATTTCGTAACCTGGTCATAAAAAGAGACACTATAGTCTCCTAACGTGCACAATTTTTTATACACAGGAATTGTCTGAGATTGCACTTATTACATCTATACAAGGGAAATAATTTATAAGAATAATTTTATTACCTCTGTCAGAGCCCATTAATTGAATGCCTATGGCACAGTGGAAAACTCCGCCACAGTGGAAAACTCCGCCACAGTGGAAATCCCGCCAAGTCCAACGGCCGCATCGTTCAAACAAGCACCACCCATTGGCCGGTTACAAATTATTCCCACTTGGCAACTAGCAACTGGCTTGCTATCCATACAAAAGTAAAAGCAGTTTCCGCCCAAGTTGGAGAACTCCACACGCATCCTGGAGTAAACTTGGTGGACTGATCACCCATCAACAACTCCCTGTCACCGACCTTCCTGACATATCCCCTCCCTGTGCACTCGATAAGCCGTTAAAGGAACGTCTCATCTCGTCTCAGAGAATTCTTGTTATGTTTGTAACTGCAACTTAAGTCAACTTTCTTCCTGCGCTGCACACATCGGCAGCATGAGTAAACGATCTATTTGTTACCAATACGCATCCGTGCCTAATTCCACTCCATTCGTCAAAGTACCCACCTGACGTTCCGGGTTCCCGGCCAGAGCCCGGCAGCCGGTCGGCAGCCACATGGCGTCACAAACAGGATCTGGGGAAGACGCGATGGAGTCGGAACTAGTTAAAAACTGCCCCTGGCGCAGTGGGGGGCGTCACGTGACGAACGCTGATGAACTATGGGCACACATCGTCTATCACCAGGTGGGCAGAGCGGGTGAAAGGCTCGTCAGCGGCTACCTTTCGCTAAAAGGGGAAGAGGGAGTTTCGAGAGAATGGGAGGCACATCTTCACCCCGGGGCGTTCGGGTGCGTGATGAGCAGCAAGCGGGTCCTATTTAGGCCCCAAGAGGAAGTAGGCACCGTATCCCTCACCAGAGTCAAACCGATGGGCGCGGTAAGCGCGACTCCCATCCAGGAGTACGCCCGCTGTATACGATATGTGCGGGAGGGCGGAGAACCGACACTGGTCGACAGGTTCAATCCTCCGGCCCTAGTGCCCGGGTCGAGGGGCCACGAGTTGCTCTCCGATCTCCGGGAAAGGTTAGAATTGGAAGGCCACATCACAACACGATGGGCAGGCCCAAAGTGGGACAAGGGGAAAATGCTAAACATAACATTCCACGCCGTCACAACTCTACTGCGGGAGAATGCAAACTTAGAAGTCCAACTGCTCACAGCCGCCCAGGCGGCTAAAGAGGCGGCAGTAAAGGAAAGCCCCAAGCCGCCGCCATCCCAAGATGGCGCCGGGGAAAAAGAGAAGCGCGCGAAAATTCCCCGAGAGGGATGGACAGCCGCAACACCACCCATGGCCCTGCCTCCTGAAGTGGCGCCGGCCACCCCAACCCGCCGCTATCCCAAGATGGCGCTGGGGAAAAAGAGAAGCGCGCGAAAATTCCCCAAGAGGGATGGAGAGCCGCACCACCACCTACAGCCCCGCCTACCGAAGTGGCGCCAGCTGCGGCCCCGCTCCCCGAGCCTGCCCCTCCTCCGACATTCCCGCCTCCCTATGAGAGCAAAACTTTATACCCGGCCCTCCCACCAGAGGCTCCGGCAACCCCAACAGTAGCCGCTAACCCTGTTGCCCGGGTTAAACAAGTGGCTGACGCTCAGGGCGCAACACGTACTACCACCACATACCGCTCCTGCACTCGAGCGGAACTACAAGAGCTGTCCTGCGAGTCATAGGGCTAGGCCGCCTCATAGTAGAGTTTGGGTCCAACCTGCTGGACCTAGAAGAGG